CTATTAACCCACTACAATATTTTTTCTAAGTCATGGATAACACTACTCAATCATCAACTATTTCTGTCCCTATTTTCAATGGTGAAAATTATGATTTCTGGCGTGTTAAAATGGAGACATATTTTTCATCTCAAGATTTATGGGACATAGTAGAAGAAGGCTTCATCGCTCCCATAGATACTTCAGCTCTAAATGCAGCTCAAGAAAAAGAGTTGAAGAAAAATAAACAGAAAAATTCAAAGGCATTGTTCACCTTGCAACAAGCGGTGACTGATGCAATTTTTCCAAGAATTATGGGAGCTAAGACTGCAAAAGAAGCGTGGAAGACGTTGCAGGAGGAGTTTCAAGGAAATGACAAGGTACGTGCTGTCAAACTTCAATCTCTAAGAAGAGATTTTGAACTATTGAAGATGAAGGAGTCTGAGACAGTTAAAGATTACTATTCTAAAGTTAAAGAAATAGTTAATCAAATGAGAGCTTTTGGGGAGGATATTCTTGACAAGAAAATTGTTGAGAAAATTCTAATTACTATGCCCCCAAAATTTGACCCAATCGTGACAACAATAGAGGAAACCAAAGATCTGTCTACTCTATCAGTGACAGAACTAGTGGGCTCTCTTGAAGCATATGAGCAAAGACTACATAGGCATAAAGAAGATACACTTGAAAATGCCTTTCAGTCAAAGCTCAAATTTAAGTCCCAAAATAAAGAAAATGGAGGAAAGAAAAATTATGGTGAAACTTCCAAAAGAAGAAAAGTTCCTAGAAATTTCCAAAAGAACAATCCAGATAAAAATATTTCATGCAATATATGCAAACGACTAGGCCACGCGGAGAAAAGTTGTTGGTACTGTAATATGCCACAATGCAATCATTGCAAGAAATTCGGGCACATAGAGAAACACTGTTGCAACAAAAATAGGCATCAAGCTAATATCGCAGAGGAGCATGATCAAGAACAATGTATGTTCTATGCCACTCAAGAATCAAACAAAGAAAAAGGAGGAAGTTGGTACTTGGATAGTGGATGTAGCAATCACATGGCCAAGGATGAGACTATTTTCAAAAGCATTGATGAGTCAGTCAAAGTCAAAGTTCGACTAGGAAATGGAAGTGTGGTTGAGTCAAAAGGAAAAGGCACCGTCGTGGTAGAGACAGATAAAGGTACGCGACTCATCCATGATGTCTTACTAGTTCCCAGCCTAAAAGAAAATCTTCTAAGCATTGGGCAAATAATGGAGAGAGGCTACACACTTCACTTTGAAGGAGGTGTATGCAAAATCTTAGACAACAAGAATAAAAGGGTTGAGATAGCCGAAGTGAAGATGAATAAGAGCAATAGAAGCTTCTCGCTAAATTTAAAATATACAACTAACATTGCCATGAAGGTACAAGTTGATGATTCATGGCTTTGGCATCGAAGATTTGGCCACTTCAACACACATGCCTTGAAGTTGTTACATGATAAGAATATGATGAGAGATCTTCCAAGCATAAAGGATAACAATGAAGTGTGTGAAGGATGTCTCCTTGGTAAGCAACACCGATTTCCATTCTCAACAAGCGGAGCATGGAGAGCAAAAGATCTGTTGGAGCTGATACATACTGACGTCTGTGGACCGACGAGGACGCCATCACACGAGAACAACAGGTACTTCATACTCTTCATTGATGACTTCTTTAGAATGACATGGGTCTATTTCTTGAAAGAAAAATCAGAAGCTTTTGGAGTATTCAAAAGGTTCAAGGCCCTTGTTGAAAATCAAAGTGGAAAGTGGATAAAAGTACTAAGAAGTGATCGCGGCAAAGATTACACATCCCGCGAGTTTGATAAATTTTGTGAGGATGAAGGCATAGAGCGAAAACTTACAGTCGCATATTCTCCTCAGCAAAATGGTGTGTCTGAGAGAAAGAATCGCACAGTTATGGAGATGGCTAGATCGATGCTCAAAGAGAAGCGACTACCTAACACATTCTGGGCTGAAGCAGTCTACACTGCTGTTTACTTACTCAACAGATGTCCAACTAAATCTGTACAAGATAAGACTCCAATTGAGGCTTGGAACGGGAAGAAGCCATCAGCAAAGCACCTAAGGATCTTTGGATCTATATGCTACATTCATATTCCAGACGTGAAGAGGCATAAGCTTGAAGACAAGACTATACGAGGTATCTTCTTGGGGTATAGTACAATATCTAAAGGCTATCGTGTATATAACTTGCAAACAAAAAAACTCATCATCAGTCGAGATGTTGAAGTTGATGAGAATGCTTCTTGGAATTGGGATGAAGAAAAAGTGGAGAAGAATGTTCTTATACCCACTCAACTACCTCAAGAAGAAGCTGAGGAAGAAGTCCTAGGTGAACCTTCTTCACCTCCACCACAACAACAAGCTCAAGAACTATCATCACCAGAGTCTACTCCAAGACGAGTAAGATCTTTGAGAGACATATATGAAACCTGCAACATGGCCATACTCGAACCTGGAAGCTTTGAAGAAGCATCAAAGCATGAAGTATGGGTCAAGGCAATGGAAGACGAGATAAAGATGATCGAGAAAAATAACACATGGGAGTTAGTAAATCGTCCCCATGGAAAAGATATCATTGGGGTTAAGTGGGTCTATAAGACAAAGCTCAATCCTGATGGCACCATACAAAAACATAAGGCGAGACTAGTAGCTAAGGGTTACTCACAACAACCTGGGATTGACTACAATGAGACATTTGCACCAGTAGCTCGTCTTGATACCATTAGAGCTCTAATAGCTCTTGCGGCACAAAAAGGATGGAGTATACATCAACTGGATGTCAAATCTGCCTTCCTCAATGGTGTACTTGAAGAAGAGATCTATGTGGAGCAGCCACAAGGATTCATATCTGAAGGCGAAGAGAGCAAAGTGTTAAGACTAAGAAAAGCACTATACGGTTTGAAGCAAGCTCCTCGAGCATGGTATAGCAGAATCGATCAATATTTCATGGATCAAGGATTTAGGAGAAGCAAGAGTGAGCCCACACTATACATCAAGTCTCAAGGTCAGTACACTCTCTTACTCTCTCTATATGTAGATGACCTTATCTACACGGGAAACAATACTAAGATGATAAAGGAGTTCAAAGAAGACATGATGAAGACCTTTGAGATGACCGAACTTGGTTTGATGAGTTACTTCCTCGGTATAGAGGTAAGCCAAAGAAATGAAGGGATATTCATCTCACAAAAGAAATACACAGAAGGCTTACTTAAGAAATTCAAGATGTACGGTTGCAAACCTGTCGCTACCCCACTCATAACAAATGAGAAACTACAAAAGAATGATGGAGCACCAAAAGCTGATGCATCCAAATATCGAAGTTTAATTGGAAGCCTCCTATATTTGACAGCTACACGGCCAGACATAATGTATGCTACAAGTCTTCTATCAAGATTCATGCAAAGTCCAAGTCAAATACACTTTGGAGCGGGAAAAAGAATTTTGAGATATCTACAAGGAACAAAAGAGTTAGGTATATGGTACTCTACCGAAACTAACTCAGGATTACTTGGCTACACCGATAGTGATTGGGCAGGTTCGGTAGATGACATGAAGAGCACCTCTGGTTATGCTTTCTCACTCGGATCAGGAATTTTCTCTTGGGCGTCGAAGAAGCAAGCTACGGTTGCACAATCCACAGCAGAAGCAGAGTACGTGGCAGCTGCTGAAGCAACGAGTCAGGCTATATGGCTTCGTAGGATACTTGAAGACATGGGAGAAATCCAGGATCAGCCAACTAAAATCAATTGCGACAACAAATCAGCAATTGCAATGGCAAAGAATCCAGTGCATCACAGTAGAACAAAACATATAGCAATCAAGTATCACTTTATAAGAGAAGCTGAAGCAACTAAAGAGATCAAACTCGACTACTGTAGAACAGAAGATCAAATTGCAGACATATTCACGAAGGCGTTGCCGAGACCAAGATTTGAAGAGCTACGAGCTATGCTTGGAGTCAAAGAAATTTGTATCAAGGAGGAGTGTTAAATTTGCTACAAAATTCTAGAGAGTTCTTAAATATAATATGTAACAAAATATAGAACATCCTAGAAACTATAAGGTGTATGAATATGGTAGAATAATCTAGATATATAAGTATATGGCAAAGATAGAAAAATCTAGATTTATCATGATAGTAACCTATCATGAGAACTCTAGAATATTCACCACTATTGAATGGTTGGTGACTTGAGCCTATAAATAGGCATTTGCTACATTGTAAACAATCATCCAAGAAATTAATCAAAAACCTTCTTTCTAAACTACTCTCTAAAACTATCTTCTACCAACTATCATCTAAACAATTTCTAACAAAAAGAATGTTGAACGAAATTGCACCTATCCAACAATCGCACTAAAACTCCAAAAGAGAGCCTGTGTCAAGCTACAATTAAGTTGTTATTTGTCTAGCGTGAAAAATTTGTCATAGAATATATTATTTATAATAGTGTTGTTTCATTTTTCTCTTATTAGTTCGCCTCGTTCCTGTTTGCCACCTCCAATCTTCTTGTAGTTCATGTTATGTGATATTTTGTTGGATGTGTGTATATTGTTTTGTTTTGGTCGAAGATTGGTATTGATTGGCGATGTTGGTGGTCAGTGTTTAATTTTCGATTTCAGGTTTATGATGTTTGAGAGAGGTTAGAGCTTATCTCTTTAACAATTTTCATTAGTAATGCTTCAATTAAAAATATAATTTATTTATAAACAGCAAGACACAAATTTTTTCTTTTTAAGAAGGAAGAAAATTAAGAACGAAGTAAATTGAGTTCTCTAAGTCACTATAAAAGAGCAAGGGATTAGTAATCACAAAATGCCAACTATTTTAGTTATCATGATTGCTCTGTTGCATCCAGAATAACAATCACCAACATATTTAAAACAAAAATAAGAATAACCATATAACAAACTCTAGACTCACAAAACCATAAACCATGCTTTAACTTATTTAAATGTAGGCTTTTATTTTTTGACTGGAAAATAAACATGTCTATTGATTCCACACACTCCATACTGTTTATCATAATCTCTTTTGATCCACATATAACCCTGTATTCCCCATGATGTCCCCTGTGAGTTCTTCACAATCCAATAATCTTCATTATCTTTGGAATTATAACCCACTAATATCATGCTGTGAGTTACAGTCCAAGGATCCAACGGGCAATCTTCACCTTTAAATATTCCCTGTCAATGAATCAATATTCTTCATTAATAAATTTAAAAATACTAAAAAACACAGAAGTTGCTTAAATTGCAGTTGTGTATGCGGTTATTGCGGTTGTTTCAATGAATATTGCGAGTGTTGCGGCATAAATCATAATTATGAGATGTTTAAAATATACATTAAGAGATATTTAAAGTTAAAAATTTTCATTACATCAGACTAAAATTGAGATTTGGAATTCTAAAATTTTAATTTTTGGTGAGAAGAATGGAACAAACATGACCAAAATTGTGAGACGCGGTTTTTGGTGTGTGTTTTGAACGTGATTATAAATAACACCAATTGCTGTTCAATGTTGTTGCAAAGTCAACCACATCAGCAATATTGCAAACCTAGTTGAGAAACAGGATTATATGGTGCGTCCATTATGGTGCAGTAACGGCGTAAAGTTTTACGTTCACAACGGTATTTTGCGGTTGTAACGGTATTTAGTCATGGTCATAAAATTTTTCGACAATGATTTTATTCTCAACATAAAAGAGGTAAATAATAGAATCAGCACCTTTCGATTCAATTTTGTTGCCGCCATTTTTGCAGTAACAAAACCTTTTTTAAAACCTTGATCGGACAACATGGTGTTAAATGAGTTTAAACAAAGTGAATAGTGGACATGAATGAATAAGTTAAGAACTCTACATTATATAACCACTTACACCGGTGTAAAGATGATATTTTGGTGAACGGGCATAAATACTAACAACAAGAGGCTGCTTAGCAACTGCACACAATAGTCCCCGGTCAGAACTCTCCACGAGCTGATGTGATTCAATACTACTATTTGCACTGTTTTTAGTCTACATTTCATGAAAAAAAATAAAAGATGAAATATTAATAGAAACTATATAATAATGAATTTGATAGAAATTAAGAACCTTGGAGGCTCTGCAAACACCCTTGCTAGCCGTGTAACGATAAGATGTTCGTCTTGCAATCCCTTTGTTTCCTGTTACCCATTCGAATCCGCTGTCCACATATCCTTCAGAACAACTTCCATCTGGTACACAATCTAGAAGCTCTTGCTCTGAAAGGCTAATAAGCTTCCCTGTCTTTATTGCCACTATTCCTTCAATGGCTCCTACAGTTGCAAATGCCCAACAACTACCTAAGGAAAAGGAAGTATTATTTTGCGTGTGAGAGTATAAAAACACAAATGTCATGCAACCAAGACAAACTTACCGCAATCACCTTGATCCTTAACCGGAGTGACAGCTCCATTCGACCTCCAGTCCAAGGTTGAAGGTGGATCACTACATGTTACGTTCTGAACATCATCATCGTTCACAATATCCATGGCGTCAGTGTTTAAGGGCATGTATGTTTCTTTGAACTCCGTGAAGCTCAAATCAGCAAAGTTGGTCAGACCAAGAAGAGCGCTATTAGGTGAGTCTCTCTTTGCATTATTCTCTACGATATACTTCAAATTTGAAACAAAAGTGTCAAATTTCTCTGACATCTCTTCTAGATCATTGTAGACTCGTCCATGTTCTTTCTTCCATACATGAAATAATTCTATAACATCATCTTGATTAGGAAGCTTATCAAGTTTAAGACCCGATATGGAGGTGTACTTACTCGTTGAGATCTCCAATCTTGAAGATATATTTAAGATATCTTCATTTTCGTTAGGTTTTTTCTTTTGAATAGCAAAGTATAAACATAAGCATGCAGTGAAGATGGTGAAGAGGAGAAATCCGTTTGAGGTGTAGGAAATCTTCATTTTTTATTGGAAGTAAGTTGAACATGGTTAGTCAATGTATTGATCTAATGTATGTAAAAAAACTAATGTATAGAATAAAGTAATAGATTTGTGTAATGGATAAAAGATTAATAATTTATTAGAATAATTAAGGATTTTCAAACTGCACATCACGAACACTTTATATGAAAGTTAGTATTATGGAGATGGTCATTGCCCCGTTATTACATATGAAAAAGATCAATATTTTGTGAATTAGCCAAAAATAATATAGACGTATGGAGTGGGTCTCTTCTGCATAGTCTTAATTTATTATTTGATGGAATGCATAGTCTCTTTTTTTATCACATAATGCATAGTCTTATTTTATTGTTATTAGTAATAATTCATATTTTATTATATTATTTTCTTAAGCCCATAAGTTTGTTAGAGGGTATTTCAGTATTTTATCTTATTCTAATAACTCTAGTTTTAGCCTATAAATAGGGTGACAATCATTGTAACTCTTAATCCTGTTTCTTCTGCCGTCATTCTCTTTAATAGAATATTTCCCTATTTTCATTATTCTATCTTTGCACCAACAATTGTTCCAAGAAGCAACCTGTTGTGGCGTTGTCAACCTGTGAAGCTGAATACATTGCAGGTGCTGTTACTGCATGCCAAGCTGTTCTGAATCTGTTGCAGGATCTGAAGATTAAAGTAGACAAATCTCTGAAGTTGATGATTGACAATAAGTCTGCAATCAATCTTGCCAGAAACCCAGTGTTGCATGGGAGAAGCAAGCATATTGAGACTAAGTATCATTTTCTGAGACATCAAGTTCAGAGTGGAGTGTTAGAAGTTGTACACTGCAGCACTCAAAAGCAGTTGGCAGATGTTCTGACGAAAGCTATCAAGACGGATCAATTTCTCAGATTAAGGGATGAAATTGGTGTTACAAGTTTTGATGGAATATGAACTAAGGGATGGTATTAGTAATAATTCATATTTTATTATATTATTTTCTTAAGCCCATAAGTTTGTTAGAGGGTATTTCAGTATTTTATCTTATTCTAGTAACCCTAGTTTTAGCCTATAAATAGGGTGACAATCATTGTAACTCTTAATCCTGTTTCTTCTGCCGTCATTCTCTTTAATAGAATATTTCCCTATTTTCATTATTCTATCTTTGCACCAACAATTGTGTTCAATGAGAGATCTTAATATACTCCAAATCAAAATGTTAATAGTTCTCATTATATTACAAATATTTATTGCAGTAGAATACAAGGTAGCTTCCATGAAGACCAATGCTAACATGTGACGTACCCTTAGCTACTTTACTGGTTGGTGTATCGTTTATGAAATTTAATTGCCACATTTTTACTAAATGATTTATCATGAAAAATTTATAAGATTTAGAGATGGTTATATTGAATGCCACATTGTTACTTAAAAGGGGATGTGGTGTTAAATTGAATGTCGCTATAACTTCTAGGTGTAGATAAAATTTTACCTATATTTATAATAAATGTCACTATATGCAAATTTTTAACAATTACAAAACTAAATAACTGAAATTAAATATTTATGCAAAATTCTATTATATTCAAACATTAAGATTCATTTCATATTATATAAATTAGAACTATTTTTACAATTTTACATATAAAATAAAAAGTTTTCACTTTCTTTATTGGAGTTCTCCATTAAAAAAAAAATCTTTATGTCAATGCATCTACAACTTAGAATATTGCATTATCTTCACCTTCATGTATCTCCATCTAAACTATTCTTGAAATCATAGGTAAATATTCATTAAAATATATACTTTAAAATAACACCAAATCTAATAATAGATATGCTTTTATAGGGATGGAAGAGAGGTAAGTTTTATTTAGTTTGTTATTATGTACAATATGAATATGAAAAGATGCAAGTTTTAACATGTTGCAGACTAAACATGAGGGGATGTAAATTTAATCAATTGTTCCCAACAATATGAAGAGATGTAAGTTGTTAACAATATGAAGAGATGTAAGTTTTAAGATGTTACAAACACAAAAGAGAGTAATTCTCTACAATATGAAGAGATGCAACTCGACAACGTTATCAACCCTTCAAATTTTACATAACTACCACATACAACTGAGTCTGTTTCTTTTCCAATCTACTAGATAAAAGTAATTAGTCACAAAAATGCACAATTATTTGCATAGAAAAGAGAGGGAGTTGTTAGTTACCTGCAATAAGGGTACCACAGCGGTTGAAAGCAATACATTTCCTAATTCTCAACCCCTTTCATATTTTTTTTTCTATAAGTTTCATAGACCTAAATTCAGATACTGGTTTATGGCTACAGATCCTGTTAAAATTAATGTATTGTAACCACCATTATTTTTAATAAGTATTATGAGATAATTGTAACCATTACATTGTAATTATTGTCTTGATTTAAATTTATGGTAGAGTTCTATCATTAAGATTGAAAGAATCAAATAATCCTCGTCTTGATTACCAACTTATTGTTTTCTCTGTCAGTTTCCTTCAATTTAATATAAAGGCTCTATAATTCTAAATTGTATGTAGTGAGTGTGTGGTGAATTCAATAAAATCTGAGTATTTCAACATTATAACCTCCATCAGTGAAAGTTTAGTGCAAAAAAGTGACTCAAAAAATATTAGTATATGTAAGCATGTAAGCATGTATAAAGGTTTGGTTGGAAGCTTGTTTTATCTTACAACTTCGATGTCTAATTTAATGTTTGTGGCTTGTTTAGTCTCAAGATTCATAAGTAAACAAAGTCATTTACATCTTGGAGTAACAAAAAAAAATTCTAAGGTATGTCATGGGAACCATGGAGAACACAATCAGATTTGAGAAGAGTTCTAAACTTGAAGCACTATGCCAAAAATGGCCTTTAGGAGCGCTTTTTTTGACCTTTAGCAGCGCTTTAAAGCGCTGCCTAAAGTGGCGCTGCTAAAGGTAAAGGCAGCGCTTTTTTGGAAAAAGCGCTGCTAAAGGCATCACTTTTAGCAGCGCTTTTTTACCCCTTTAACAGCGCTTTCAAAGCGCTGCCTATTCTCCCTCCCCCTCCCCCCCTGTAGCAGCGCTTTATGAAAGCGCTTTTGTAGACCACCCTTTAGCAGCGCTTTTTTAAAGCGCTTTCTTAGACCCCTCCTTTCCTAACCTATAGCAGCGCTTTTTTATGCCTATTTTTGCCCCTTTAGCAGCGCTTTCTTGTAAAAGCGCTGTCTATACTTCACGTTTTTAAATTTTTTTTTTTTGAAAAATCACATTTTTTATATATTTTTAGACAAACCTGCTTATAACAATTAAATTCCCTGCTTATAATTCAGGCCTTAAATATAACTTGTCCTTTAAACATTGTAATTCAACACTTGGCCTTTAATTCAACACAATATAACTAAACATTGTACATTATACAATAACACTTTGCAATTTACACATAATTAACTCAAGTATAATTTACACATAATTTAAACATTGTACATTATACAATATACAATATACAATATACAATATACAATTTACACATAATTACAAATCCAATATACATTATAGAATTCTTAACTCAATCATAAATTGACACCATTCTTCCTTAGTTTCTTCCAATTTTACTTTCGAGTACGTAGCGCATTTGAATTCATCAAAATACTACATAATATAACAGAACAAGCACGATTTAATACTAATTACTCAGATGAAATATTAGTTAATTATCAAAATGAATCATATAACTCATGAATTGATCCATACCATGATTGGAATCTCTAATTGACCAGAAAGAATGATTTCCTTCATAAAGCGCAGTACAAAATATCCGCAGTCAATCCCACCACGCTGACGAGGACACTGTATTAGGAAAAAAGTGAACGAACATTTATCAGGATATATAGTTTAAATAGTTTTATAAGTAGAACCACTATAACAGTCAAACATGGGAAAATATACCTCCACTCTGATCCAGTTGATGTTGTTAGCCCTGCTTTTTGGCACTGTTACATCTCTCTGTGCTCTGTATATTTGTATAACTCTAACATAATATAAACACATATTTAGAACAATGTCACATAATAAATAAACATATATAATTATTCAGAACACTATATATCATCACTTACGTATCAACCATGTTCTTCAGATTTTCATATTTGTTTGTATCGCCATCCAATGAATCTATATAATACACTATTTCTTTAATCGGATTAATTGCGACCAACAACCAGTGACCACTATAAAATAAGACAATAGTTTAGACGGAAATGTTATATAATATGGCAAAAATCGAACAATTATAATAAATGAATTTAGAATAAAAACTAACCCATGGCCAGTATTATATGGCAACATAAACAACTTCTCCGTATTCGCACCCATAAATCTCTGGACTGTGTACTCTTTGACTGCTTCTGGTGTTTGGTCTATTGTCCGTGAGTTGACACTGCTAGCAGATAAGAATGCGAATACTGAAGTCAAATCAGCGGGGACCAACAACTTGTCATACAAGCGCCTAAAAAAAATATAATCAACATTAGATTATTCAGTTAAACGAGCGAATTTTAAAATGTTCAATTATCTAATTAAAATGGATCGAAGTACCTGATGTAGGAATGCATAACCCCGATGCCCAATTCTAAATGTTTGAAAACCTGGTCGAAATCCTCCTTAGCAAGTGTTTCGGAATATTCAAAACCGAAAATACCTTGATCCATATGTATTAGACGGATGCCGCCCTCAGGCACGTCTGTTGTCCCTACATATGTTTGAAGGCACGACCTAAATTGAGGAACAAATGCTCTTTTTGTCTCGACCTTTTTTTTGGGCACCTTGGAAGTTTCAGGCATGTTTCCCTTGCTGACTTGTTGCGACTGCTGATCAAGAACCTAAAAGTCATATATAAGTTCAGTAAATAATTTATAATAAAATAATCACTTAAACTGTAGTACTAGTACCTGTAACTTTGATGCAGCTGAATCGGTATCCCGCACAATAATTTTATCATCTTTTGTTTTGGATT